CAATAAGATGGATTGACACAGTGGCTGCAACAATGGGCCCAACCATTATAATTATGAGGGTGGTGCAGGACTGGGCAGTGTTTCGTTCTATTGCACGTAGGATCACTATCAGTCAGAACCAACTTGACAGCACCTAACAACTATAATAAGCCTATCTTAAGTCTATAAAATTTGTCTCACTATTTTCATAAATCAAATCTGTACATATATGCTATTAGCCTGGATACTGCTGTGGCAATAATGAGAGAATGTAACCCCAGGCCCATATAGTACAACCAAATTCATAAATCATATTAAAAAATCCATTGCTGAGGCAAATCTGATTTCTAAGGCTTTCTTGATGGAAACAGTCTGCCTTCCATGTCTTTCTCCTGCAGTGGCTGGTGGGTTCAAACCATAAACATTTTGGTTAGCAGCTGAGTGCTTAATTTCCTGGGTTAATGCTTTGAAAGCAAGGGACAATGTGATAACATATGCTTACCTTGGTCACACAAAAACAAAACAAACAAATCCACTGCCAATGAGGTGATTCCAACTCACAGCCACTATAGGACAGAGTAGAACTGCCCCAAAACATTTCCTAGGCTGTAAATACTTATAGAAGCAGACTGTCTCATCTTTCTCCTGCAGTGGCTGGTGAGTTCCAACTTTTTGGTTAGCAGCTAAATGCTTTAACCACTATGTCAATAGATCTCATCTTGGTCATATAGCTAGGGTTATATACTTAACTTTTTACCATCCAAATAGTACCCCTTCAGCAATGTAAAACAATCCCTATTAGTCTAAATTTAAAGAAATATCATTCCATAGCCTAAGTCTAATACAAGAATAGACTTAGTACAATTCTTCTGAATTTGAACAAGAGCAAAGACTGGCTAAACCAAGCCTAATCTACAGCCACTCCTCAATACTGAGGAAATACAAAAAACAAACATTTGTTTAGTACAGCAACTTAAAAAAGACTTTTTAACTTACTTTTAAAATCAGATTTATTATAAGAATCAGTATATAATGAATGAAAAACAGACTTCGGTTTCATGGCTGCATTCAATTAATTATTATTGAGAACAGGGTTTGGGGGTAGCCTGGGTGCATCAAATGCAGAGATTATCTGAAAACCTTATGTCTGCCATTACTCCCAGCCTCCTTCGCACCAAGCCTTTTACCAGTGCTAACCCTACCCACCATCTGGCAGAGGCCCTGAGGAGCAGTGGAATGGCCAAAGGGCAGGAAGCAGGGGAGAGCAGGGAAAACAAAGCAAGAGGAGGACTAGGGGCTGGAAGATCTACAAACTCAGTATCAGTCCCTGGATAAGAGAGCTGGTTGTACCAAGAAAAGTTTTTGGGTTTTACAAACTTAAATGCTTGATTGTCATTAGTTATGGACAGAATGCTCATGTCAGGTACTTAAATGAGAAAATGCATGGGTAAATTAAGCGACCAGACCAAAAGGATTCAGCTCCTCAAAATACAAAGGTCCTTATTTTAGTCTATAGTAGAAGAAGTAGGCTTTATTAAATCCCATTGGATTGAAATTTGGTTCAAGGAAAAAAGAAGTTTAAATATTTGTGTCAAATATAAAAACTTTAAAATCAGGAATTTCTTAATTTTTCAAAAAAGATTTCAAATAAAATCTACCTCTAAAAACCAAAAAGGTCTCTTTAAATACAGAGTAATAATAGTTTTACCTAGGGAAAAATATGCACCACAGGAATTTTTTTCATATACTATACAAAGGTTTCCAATCTTTAGAAATATATTTACTGCCATCCTTAAGTGTTCAGATTTGGGTGTGTTTAGCTAAGTGTATGCATGAGAATACTGGTAATTTATTGCATAATGGAATGTTCAGTACATTGACTATCATATAAGATAATTAGTTAATCCCTTCATACTTGTCATTTTATTATACTAAAATTGTGATAACGTTCTTTGCCAGGATTCTCATGATCTGACAATGCAGAGAAATAGGACATCTGTCTGAACCACCTCCTGTCTAGAATTTGCCAGTCAACCATGAGTGGGAACAAAGCATATTCTTTCATAATTATAGTTGTAAAAGATCACATAATAACTATGGCACTGAGGCTCACCACTGGTGTAGTGGACACCATGGTCATTCCTTATACTCTTGAGTAGATTAGCATCTGACAGTGTGTGGCCGTAACAAACAAAATTGGATGGCTATGTCGGGCAGATTAACAAATTCTTTGTGGAAGACCTCACGTAACACAAAAATTAAGACTAGCACTTTAATATTAAAACAAAAAACAAAATAAGGATTAATCTTGAATCAAAACATTAATTGAGCAAATCCAATTTTTGTCTTCCAAGTCCAATTTATTAGTGTTTTTATGATTCTCAAAATTTGAAATAATTGTTTGTAGTAGACTTTTTTTAAAGATAGGAGCTCTTGTAGCTTGGTGCCTAAGGCACTTGACTGCTAACCAGAATGCTGGTGGTTCAAACCCACCAGCCATTCCTCAGAAGGGCAATCTATTTCCGTAGTGATACTGCCTGAGAAACCCAAGGAGGGGTTGCTATGAGTCAGGTCCGACTCGATGGCACATAACAACAAAAACAACAATATTGACTTTGGAAAGCATTCCATTTTTACCACAAAATATGACAGAGTAGGAGATGCTCTCAAGAAATATTACTTATCAATTCTGAAAACAGTATATGCATTAGAAAATTTGTATTTTACTTACAGAGCATGTGTCAAAAATCTATGTACCGTAAAGGGAGCTGCTCTTGTCTTTTAAAACATGTTATTATGACAAGTTTCTAAGGGATAATGGTTCACATTCACACATTCCATTAGTAGACCATTTTTAATGTTATATCAAAGTCATTTCTTCTCTTCTGACTCTAGTACAAAATTACAATTATCTGCAATATGCAGTACTGGATGTTTTTTCCCCAAACACTGAAGTTATATTTCAGTTTAAACAAGGCAAATGTTCAATTATAAATGGCTAAAAGTACAAAGAAAGAAAGTAAAAAGTAATAAACACCTGGTGAGAAAAAAATAATGGAAATGAAAGCCTAATGCTTTAACTTCAAAATTAAGTTTCCAGGTTCCTCAACACATTAAAGGTTGCTATCTGTAGCAGATATCCAAAGGGTTTCTATCAAGGTGATTGTAATAGATTTTATTCTGATTTCTTGTTCCCCCACTTGATCTTCAAATCATCACTTAAGTTTCCAGATTTTTACAAACTTGGAGAAACAAAAAAGCCCTTGTTGCCTATTACAAATCCTCACATGTTAGACTAATAAATGAAATTACATCACTTTCCTGTGTATCACAAGCTCTTTATTAAAAGAAAGACAACTGTCCTCCAAAAAAGATGCATATTTTTAAATCAACACACTGTACACACCCATTACCAAATAAAGAGAATCAGCAGCCTGAGAAAACAGTTGGAGTTTGTTAGTAACTTTCTAGTGAACAACTGCAGTTAAGCTTCAGCATTTGGTTGTTAGGTCAACTTCCAGGTCAATGTCAGTATCTCTAAGGAGCTACTAGTGGTGCAATGGCTAAAGTGCTCTGCTGCTAACCAAAAGGTTGGTGGTGGGAACCCACTATGTTCTCTGCAGGAGAAAGATGTGGCAGTCTGCTTCTGCAAAAATTATAGCCTTGGCAACTCCATGGGGCAGTTCTACCTTGTACTAGAAGGCTGCCATGAGTTGGAATTGACCTGATAGCAGTGGATTTGGGTTGGTTAGTATCACCAAAATGATTGCTTTTTCCTTTAAAAACCATAAATTCAAATTGGGAACTATTTTCCTTCTGTTGTTAATTTCCTTTCTCATAAAAAGTTTGTGAAAACAAAACACCTAAAAGCATCCCTTGCCCCCACTGATTTATTCGTTATTATTTGGTCCTTGCTTCTTTTCCTCCAAACTACTAGTTGCTTCACTAAGTGAAGTCTTTTGTACTCAAGGAGCTCTAGTAACACAGTGCCTAAGGCATTTGACCGCTAACAGAAGTTTAGCAGTTCAAATCCACCAACCACTCCACAGAAGGAAGACCAGGCAATCTATTTCTGTAAAGAAGTATTTCATCACTCACTCACTCACTCACTGCCGTGGAGTCAGATCCAACTCATAGCGACCCCTCCTTGGGTTTCTGAGGTGGTATCACTACGGAAGTAGACTGCCCATCCTTCCTTCTGAGAAGCGGCTGGTGAGGCTGAACCGCCAGCCTTCTGGTTAGCAGCCAAATGCCTAAGCACTATGCCACCAGAACTCCTATGAAGTACTTCATAGGTGAGGATAATGTTTTCATTCTTCTTGAGCTTTAGCTCCACTCTTTAAAGCTTTTTGCAGAGATTCTTCATCACTAAATCAATTATGTGATGAGCCTTTCCTAGGCAAATTTGAGAAATGCAAATATTGGAAGTCTAATTTGAATTGACAGAGGACTAGCTTATAGAATTCTACAGAGGTTCTGAGAACCACACATCTCTGCACCTGCGTATTGGAGGAAACAGCAGGACGTCTACTTGTCAAGGTGATGAACAACACGTGACAACAAATCCATACAACTAAAGAAAGGCTTATAAGCTCAAATTCTCTCCCCCACCTCAATATCTTAAGAAGATTTATAATGTACTTTAATATTATTTATGCTTATAAATATTCTTAAATGATATTGCATAGATAAATTGAAGACATAGCAATATCACCAAGGGTACTTAGTTAGTCTGACACACACTTGGTTATCTCACTCCTTATGTAACTACTGGTGGCTATAAGTAATTAGAATTTGGGCTGCCACTAATATTGACATGAAAGTGTACAATGGAATTAATCACAATTTCTTTTAGTATGTACCTATCACGTATTATGCTCTCTACTTTGCCCTTTGCATGCATATCTCATTTAATTCTCACAACAATCCTCTGAGTAATGTACTCTCTTCATCACATTTTTACAGATGAGGAAATTGGACCTTTAAAAGGTTATATAATTTGCTCTAGATTCCACAGTTGGTCAAGTGGTAAGACTAGAATGTGAACCCCAGTCATCTGAATCCAGATTCTGAGATCCTAGATATATAAAAAATCCAAAACCTGAGCCAGTTGCTGAGTCGATTCTGACTCACGTGTGTCAGAATAGAACTGTGCTGCACAGTGATTTCAATGGATGATATTTTGGAAGTAGAACTCGAGGCCTTTCTTCCAAGGTACATCTGAGTAGATTCGAACCACCAACCTTTCGGTTAGCAGCCAAGTGCATTAACTGCATCACCCAGGGGCTCCCAACTATAGGAGAAAAACTAGGTCTCAATTATACCTCCTTCCTTTATCTCTCATCCCTTTCCTCACACTCAAAGTACGTGGAATTCAGGATTAGTTCATCAAAATAACAGATTTGAAATCTAATTCAAATTAGGGAAAAAGAAAACAGTAGAAGCTTTCTTAACCAAAATCTAATTAACATATTTACTGGATCACCAGATTAGCCAACCCTCCACTCCCTCTGGAAACAAAGACTGATATAAAGCACTCTCCTATGCCTACCTATTTTTGGTTAATCAACTTTTGATTAACCTACTAACTACTGATCTCACTCAGATGAGAGAATTGTACTGTACAGAATTTTTTTCCAGACCTATTTTATGAAACCATAAGATTCACAGGCTGTATGTTTTGAGAGCAAAAGAACTTTAAGAAATTATAGAAGAAGGAAAGAGGATAACATATTTCAAGATATATGCTTAGTAAATCCAGTGAGTTCGAAAATATACCTCTGATTCAAGGAAATCAGTGAATGACACTGTTGGAAAGAACTGAACTCACTATAAAGTGCAAGCCCATTTCCTATGGAAAATGCAATAATTTATTTCTTTAGTACAAGCTTTCCAGCAAAGAATGCCATTGAACTGGGTGCATACTCTACCCAACAGAAGATACACAAGCAAAGAGGAAACACGCTGTCTAGAAAAAAAATATACAATTTCCTTTTATTTCCTCTTCAAAATAGAACAACACTTCTTTGGGGACCAAATCAGGGGCCTGTAAGAATTCACCACACAACAGTTTCCATTCTCACAGCCAGTAAAAATTAGAACTCATGAGAATCAATAAGAATGGCTCAGCTATTTCCAGAAAGACAAGGACTTCTGTGCTGGAAGCCTCTGATAGGATTCTCACCCAGCAGAGACATGAGATGCGTGGAATCCAGATCCCCAGAGTAAACAAGAACCCACTAAGAAAAAAAAAAAAATATGTGTGTGTATGTACATATATTATGTGTGTGTGTGTGTGTGTGTATACATATATATATATATGTATATATATATATGTTGTTGTTGTTGTTGTTGTGTGCCGTCGAGTCAAACCCGACTCATAGCGACCCCTCCTTGGGTTTCCGAGGCAGTATCACTACGGAAGTAGGATTGCCCAACCTTCCTTCCGAGGAGTGGCTGGTGGGTTTGAACCGCCAGCCGTCTGGTTAGCAGGCAAGTGTCTTAGCCACTATGCTACCAGAGCTCCTATATATATATATAGGAGATTCATATACATATTATACATATGTATGTAGGTGTAAACTGAGGGGACCTTGAAGTGCCAGGAGGGGCAGGCTGTAATGAATTCAGTGGCCAGGTGTGGAGCCATCCAAGTTTCTGAGAAGAGCCACGCCATTCCTGTAAGGTACCTACACAGCTTCACTGGTAGACATTATAAACTAAAAACCAAACTCACTGCCATCAAGTCAGATCCGACTCATAGCCAAATCTAAAAAAACATGCTGCCATCAAGTCAAATCTGACTCACAGCAACTCCTCCTTGGGTTCCTGAGGCAGTATCACTACAGAAGTAGATTGCCCAGCCAAATGTGTTGTTGTTGTTATGTGCTGTCTAGAGGAGATAAAATGTAGAAAGACCAGCTAAGAAGCCTCGCTTGACAGAGGTTGTTGTGCTGACTGTCATTGCATTTACTTACAATCACTTTATTTCATCTTAGCAACACTACTCTCCTGACTTCAAAGAGCTTACCTATTTTTGATTATGTTGCCCAATAGAGAGCTTATGTAAGTCTTTCTTAGTGCTTAGTTCAATGGGATAGAACATCCTTTACAGAGTTCTGATGCTTAGAAAGTGGCAGACTTTTATTTGATGTACATGTCAGAATCAACTTAGGCAACAATGTGCTCACTAAAGTATAACAAAAATAGCACTTTTTGACTTCTGGGACTAAGTAAAAAAAGGCCATGCAGCTTCCTCCTCATTTGCCAGAACATGTTCTCTGGGAGCCCAGAGTGCATGTAAGAAGGCAGACTACTCCAAAAACTGCCAAGCTGGAGAAGTCATGTGTAGCTTCCTAGTCAACACTCCCTGATGTGCCCAGACTTCCAGCCAATCCTGCCAAAGAGCCAGACCCATCAGTAAAGAGGCCTCAGGATTCTAAACTCCAGGCATCAGAGTTACCCTCAGTCATTTATGTCTTCCCAGCTGAAACTCCAGACATCCTGGAGCAGAGAGACCAGCCTTTCTGCTGTGCCCTGTCCGTGCTCCTGACCCAAAGAATCCATGGTTTTTGAAACAGTAACAGATAACTGGAAGCGTATATGCAACAAAGGAGGTGACAAACCCACTGTTGTGGGACCCACATCTGGAAAATGATACTTAGCTCTGGATGATATATTCCAAAAGATTAAAAACCAAACATGCTGAGAAGAGAATAACAAGAATGTTCTTTTATGGAAAATAACTAAAAAAAACTGGAGATATTCAAGGCAGAAAAGAGAATAAAGAAAAGGATATGTGTTCACTATCCTCAAACATTTGAAAGGCTATCATGAGTAAAAGTGAAAACAACTTTATATATTCCTAGTAGATATGCAGATGGACAGGGGGTCCTGGTGGTGCACCAGTTAAGTGTTCAGCTGCTAACCAAGAAGTTTGTGGTTTCAATTCACCCAGCTATTCTGCTGGAAAAAGACCTGGTGATCTACTCCCATAAAAATTCAAAAAACAACATCATCAACAACAAAAAAAAAATGTACTGCCACTGAGTCAATTGGGAGCTCTGGTGGCATAGTGCTTAAGGCATTTGACTGCTAACCAGAAGGCTGGCGGTTCAAACCCACCAGCCACTCCTCGGAAGGAAGGTTGGGCAATCTACTTCCGTAGTGATACTGCCTCAGAAACCCAAGGAGGGGTCTCTATGAATCAGGTCCAACTCAACGGCACATAACAACAATAACATCTCTACGGAAGTAGACTGCCCCAACCTTCCTTCCGGGTTTGATCCAACGCCAGCCTTCTGGTTAGCAGTCAAGTGCCTTAGGCACTATGCTACCAGAGCTCCTTCCATAGAACGCCTCAGAAACCCAAGGAGGGGTCACTATGAGTTGCAAACGACTCAATGGCAGTGAGTTCGGTTTGGTTTATTGAGTCAGTTACCACTCATACTAATCCTATAGGGCAGAGGAAAAATGCCCCATAGGGTTTCCAAGGCTATAAATCTTTACAGAAACAGACTGCCAGCCACATCTTTCTCCCATGGAGCAGCTGATAGGTTTGAGTTGCTAACCTTTCAGTGAGCAGCTTAATGTTTTAACCACTGTGCCACCAGAGCTCCTTCCCATAAGGATCATAGCATAGAAAATCCTATGGGGGTATTTCTACTCTGTCACATGGGATTGCTATGAGTAAAAAATTGACTTGATGACGTCTTAAGAACAACATGCATGCATAAAGATACTGGAAACTATAGTGGGTCAGATGGAAGAATTTGCTAATGCTCAGAGCTTTCCAAGAAGAAAAGGATAGCCTTAATAGGTAGTGAGTTCCTCAACATTAAAGGTAATCAAGCACATACCAGATGAACACCACCTGGTGGAAAGGTTTAGAGAGAATTAATTTATTGAATGGAAGGTTGAATGAAATGACCTTACTTTAAGGTACTCTGTACATTCAGAAGTTTTTAACCTACAGATCATCCCCATTTCTTTGTGCTAAGAAATCTAATCCCAACACATGTTGAGCAGAGAAAAAAAAAAGATGAAATGAATAAATTAAATGAAAGACAATATGAAAGTATAAATAAAAAGTGATGCAGAACTCAAGGAGAAAGGAATGGCAAACTAACAGGAAAACAGAGTAGCAGGAAGAATTTAAAAAGTTGGGACATGAAGAATATGCCAGGGGAGAGGGAAAAGGAAAGCCAAAAAACCCATCACAGACAATGCTGAAGACAGAGGATGCCTTTGCCTTTCTTGACAAATGGATATATTCATTTATAAGATTGTTTGAGCCTCTGTCAGTATGCAAGACAGGTTAGAAGGATATGAAGAGTGTGGCAGGAGAGGAACAAAGTTCAAATGGTATAATTAGCATCGCTTTTCAGTAGTGGTGGAATTTCTGGTCTCAAAGGCTCTGCGATCTCTGTGTCTGTGGGATCAAATGCTTTTACAAGGATGCATTTGTCTGTAATGTCAGTATGTTAAGAAGTGAGAAAAACTGGAAAATAAACCCTTGTTTTTCTAACAAAGCCAATGTGCAAAAGAAAACACAAACCACCTAGAAAATGAGATGTGTCCAAAGCAAAACCAGGGAGGAAATGAAAAAAAGAAAACAGTTAAAAAGTTATCTCATACATGTTTCATCTGAATTTTATCACCATTTGTAATCAACTTCCAAGGTTTCATAATACCCTTTAACCTTAGTTACTCAACTCACAACAAGTCATCTCATTGTTGCCCTATTTGAAGGAAGAGTGGAGACTCTTTTCATGTTGATAAGAGATAGAAAAGGGAGTCACTCCCAGGAAAGAAAAGCGTTGAGTAAACTCTGGAGTCTAATGGTAAGAAGTGGTGATAATCTATCCTTGCCTTAACCCTTTTAAAGATTCACCAAATTAGAAAGTTAGAAATTCATATAGTAGATGAAATAAGAGCAATTTTTTATTAATAATAATAATAATCAAAGAAAATTTTCTTTACAAAACAAAGAACAAAAAATGGAAGCTGTGTCTTCTTACTCACCCATTTCCTAGGTCTGCCTCTTGGCCGTTTTTCTCCAGTGGCTTCTGTTTTCTACAAAATGAAAAAGGAAGTCATATAGCTTTTACCTCACATTATTTATGTGTGCTGCACCAAGGGACACATTTCAAGCAAGAATGCTCTCATTTGCAGATGAAGTATAGGGATTGTTTTAAAAGCTCTTCCTCCTTTAAGGTTCATCTTTGGGTAGACGGTTCTTCCCCATTTTTTCACTGCATCATGTAAAGAGATACAAATGCAAACCCTAGCCCTAGAAGATGGTGAGCTCCTCTGGCATACATAAAAATACCTTTAAAAAAAAAAAAAAAAAAATATATATATATATACATATTTTATTTTGCTTTATATTTGTCCATAACTTAATAATTCCCACAGTCATAATTACACAAATTAGTATTTTTAAAAACTGATGTTTCTTAAATGATCAAGATTTTCTTTCCATGTCTCAAGAAAAGTTACAAAATTAACATTGATGTATTGTTTTACAATTTACAAAGCACTTCCACCTACATTACTAGTCCAAAGCATGTCTAAATATTAGGATTACACAGCATCCTAATTCAACATAGCAAACATTCACTCACTTCTACAGGGCTAATTTCCTGTAAAACAATCACCTGTCAGTCAGTTCACCAACAGAATGAAGACTCTAATGACCTAAAGCAGAGGGAAAAAGAAAAAAAAAAAAAACCCAAAACTGGCAGAGATTAGTTCCCTGAGATGGAAATTATAAGTGCCTAAAAATAGTAATTAATAAAAATTTACATTATTAATTATAATTCCACATGAAACATAGATCCAACATGAATATACTTCTCACTGTGTTGAGTTTGTCCCATTCCTTTGCTTTAACAGGTTTTTCTGGGATCACAGTCTTTTACCCCTTTTGAATTAAGCTGTTACAGTGTCTACAAAGTAATCAATCTTTTCTCTGTTTTAGTCACCCTGACTCCAACCCAAACACACACCAACACAAACACACACATCACATGCAATGTTCAATTTTTTTAGGATGAAGAACATTTAGTACATATTGCTCTGTGCATAAAAACCATTCAAAGCTATTATCAACACACACCAAAAAACAGGTAACTGAACTAGGATAACTTATTTTGTGCTTTACTTTTGTAACCTGAGTTAGCAGCTAGTAGGTAGTTGGTACAATGATACTAAAATTACATGTCAAAATTTGATAGTCTATACACTCACTCCCAAATGAGACTCTCCTATTTCTGCAATCTGCTGAATGAAAATAGATAATAGATCAAATAAAATAAGCTACAAGATTTCTTACCAAATAATAGCTCTCTGATCTTGTTTGAAGAAGCACTGGTGGCACAGTGGTTAAAGCATTAGACTGCTGACTGTAAGGTCTGCGATAGGAACCCACTAGCAGCTCTGCAAGTGAAAGATGAGGCAGTCTGTTTCTGTAAAAATTTACAGCCTTGAAAACCCTATGAGGCAGTTTTGCTCTGTTCTAGAGAGTTGTTATGAGTTGCAATCAACTCGATGGCAGTGGGTTTGGTTTGGGTTCCATCTGGCATTACTATCCTGTGAGTTAACCAAGCTCTCTGTAACAGGAAAGTTCCCACTGAGTAACGTTACCAGTTGCCTTTGAGTCAATTCTGACTCATGGCTACCCCATGTGTATCAGATAGAACTATGCTCCATAGCTTCTCAGTGGTGGATTTTGTGGAAGTAGGTTGCCAGGCCTTTCTTCCAAGGTGCCTCCGGATAGACCTGAACTACCATCCTTTTAGTTAGCAGCTGAGCTAGTTAACCGTTAACTCTACTGAGCATTTAAAATACAAGCATTGGACTAAGTCAGTCACATTTGCTACCTTTAATCCTTACAGTCATTCTATAAGGTAAAATAAAAACAGAACAAAATAAATCCATTGTCATCAACTCAATTCTAACTCACGGTGACCCTATAGGTCAGAGTAGAACTGCCAAACAGGGTTTCCATAAAGCAGACTACCACATTTTTCTCTTGCAGAGCGCCTGGTAAGTTCGAACCATAGACCTTTCGGTTAGCAGCTGAGCACTTACCACTGCACCACCAGGGCTCCTTCCCTAGAAGGTTAAAAAAAAAAAAAGAACAACCTCACTGCCATCAAGTCGGGTCCATCCTGACTCATAGTGACCCCTCCTTGGGTTTCCGAGGCAGTATCTCTATGGAAGTAGATTGCCCAGTCTTCCTTCCAAGGAGTGCCTGGTGGGTTTGAACCATCAGCCTTCCAGTTAGCAGTCAAATGTCTTAGGCACTACACCACCAGAGTAAGCACTATTATTTCTCTTATTTCTTAATTATAAACTGAGTCTCAGGATAGGTTAGATAAATAACTCACTCAAGGTCACACACAAAACTGGTAACAGCAGAGCTGGAATTTGAACCCAGTTCTGTTTGACTCTAAAGACTGTGTTCCTACCCTCCTAATGTTGCTGCCTCCCCTCATTATACAAGTACTTGCTGACTTAAGAAACTCAAACTGTCACTGATTCAGCCAATTTGCCAGAACAGAAGGAAACCTAGTAAGCTTTAGGAGCTCTACCTAATTGTCAGAAAGGTACATGGGTAGGTGGGTACTCTGAAAGTTGTTTTATTACTTCTGAATGACTCCACAAAGAATCCTTTATTGTCAGGGTTAAGTGGCACTCTCTTACCTTCCATCTATGGGAGTAAATTAAATTCAGTGAAAGCCAATTGTGCCAGTGAATCACACTTTCTGCAAAGAGTGTTGTCTCAGGGACAGAGGGGATGTGTCCTAAGAGAAACAGACTCTACTTTGGAAAGCTTAGGTTCAAATTCCTGCCATGTTCGCTTTTATGACTTTGAGCAAGTCCCTGAAAACCATAATTTGGTTTCTTCTATAACATTCAGGTAGCTTCTCCTGTGAGGAACCATGGAGGTTCTTAAAAGTGCCTGAGGTGAATTAGGTGCTCAATAAATGTTCTTTTCCTCCTAACAAGATGGGCTCCTTAAAAGGAAAGTTTTCCTACAAGTCAGGCCCATCTCATAGAGGGTTCAGTCCAAGAAATATTCCATTACACTCATCTGTTGCTTTTAGAATGAAGCTTTTAAGAAACTCTTTGGTTTAGTACATGGTGAGTTGTATGAGTGTAAAGTGTTTCTAGTACGGGGGCAGCATCTGATTTAATCTTTACGAGCAACTGTAAGACTGCAGTTTACCCAGTAGTAAATTGCACAAACATGTAAGATAGAAATCCCTCTTAATGGAAATGTGAAGGGTGGAAGCTTGAGGAGATGAGGCTGTTCACCCCAAAGCCTAAAGATGCTACACTAGCCCTTTCTATACAGTTGTTATGTTTCAGGGGCTACGATGTGATCTGGGTGTATCTCAATCTGTTGGAGGGGGGTTGTTTTCTAAAAGGGTTTCATTGCATTTCAAAGTCAGAGAAAGCAAATCTCTCAAAGAAAGCAAGCCTTGCAAGTAAGATGATTTTTAAATGAATAGCTCATTTACAGAAAACCTTTTCAAGAATAAAATTTGCACCATTAACTAAAGGGCAAAATACCATGATTATCACTTGGACTTGTTAAAAGCAAACTTGCTCCTTGGTCGTTCAGGCCAGTGTTACATGTAAACTGACACCCTCTTCTGAGACTACATCTAAAAGAAACACATTAGCTGTGCTGTGTGGCGACGATCTGGGAGGTTTTCATTGTTCTTTAAAACCCACATTATTTAATCATTCTAATCAAACTCCACAAAGGCTGCAAAACAAGCCAGGGTTTTCGTTTGTAAACCAGCATACATCCAAGACTTCTACATATCAGAAAACACTGGCTTTGACATTTTTTTCTTGTGTTTAATGCTCCTCGGGATATTATTTTTCAATAGAAGACAAACAAAACACTCGGGGTGCTTGTTTTATTTTTAATGTCAACATATGTGATACTGTAAAACTGTGTATTTGGTTTTCCTTTGCCAGAATGGAGTTTGGTTCTATACTACAAACCCATGTACAATGGAGATCTAACATGTTCTAAGTATGTATTGCTTATGGGAGGAGGACACAGAGGTTAAGAATTCAGCATTTGTTAGAACTGAAATTTCAGATTATTACCATCACTATTATACTGTTTGCAACTATCATAAATCTGTCTAAAAGATTTTTAAATCTGTTATTTCTTCCTTGCTTCTCTCAATCATATTTTCGTCTGTTTTTAAAGTGTGGATTCAGAACTGCATACTGAATTTTATGTTTTAAAAGCAAATTTGTGAGGGCTGGGAGGAATGTTTGCTGGAAATACAATTATTTTCCTAAGAGATAGTTCAGCCCTTAACTGTGCTCCACATTTTAAAAAAATTAAGAAGTAAAATTAATTCACCTAGCAAATATCTCTCTTGAAATTGGGAACAGTGCACGGAAGGTTTTCAGTACATACCTGTTGAATGAATGAAGGAAAAAAATGTTGTTTATATTGTATGCATGCATGTCATGTCTTGCTTGTCATCAAAGATTCAGAGCTTGGTTAGGACTTTAGGAGACATGTAGTCTAAGCCTTTCATTTAACAAGTCAGAAAACTTCTGGATGTGCCGTAATCCCCCAAAGAATAGCTCTATGGACGATTTGGGGACTAGTTTGTGTTGTAGTGGGCACACATTTCCAATCCTTTTATAAGCTTGTAGAGAGGTGCCTCCCGAGGATTTCTCAGAACCTCCCTTCCAACTTGCCTTTCAGGTTATCAGAGATAATGTAAATCTAGCACTTAGCAAGTATTTTACAAAATATTTGCCAGCACATAGTAGTAGACAGAGTAAAAGCTTTAGAATCAGAATTGAATTCAAGCTCAGGTGGCCCTGCTCAGTGGACATTTAATTTTAAACATGTCCCCTTGTCATCTCTAATCACAGTTTTCTCATTTGTGCAACGAAGATCATTATGCCTACCTCTAAGAATTAAAGGAGCAAATACACATGTAAAGTGCCTGACAACATTTAGTAGTTACTCATATGTAATTTCTTCCCTCCCCTCCACGTTATAAAATGATACCCTTAAAATG